TGGCTTCTTGCATTTCAGTCAAATTTGATCTTCAAACATTTAAATTCAATATCAATATCGTTATCTTCTGTCTTCTTAATTCATGTTCTTTTCTTGTCCTATATTTTTAATAGTATTTTTCTCATATTCGCTAACACTTAGTAACCCCCTTATGTCTTAGTGGCTTTATTGTCTTGCTTAGGATGAAATGATTTTAAAAAATGTGGATATATTTTTTTTTTCAAATTTGCCTGAATATTTGCTTAATTTTTAAAAAAATATATATTAATCTCTTAGAATTTTTTTAATCGCATATTATTTCTTAGTACTATGAACGTTATTTTAGTCGATGGATATTTGATTAAACATGATTTAAATTGATTTACATTTAAATTATTTAGTTAAATGAATTCTAAATATTTTTTTCAAGAGATTTTCAATGAGCTTTTTGGGACATCGTTTTGGATAAGAAAAACATCTTAAAAGAAAATAATAAATGTGTTTAACAGGAATATATTTAACTCTATGTGGTTCCACAGAAGGATGCTGAGAATACCATGGACCGAACATGTGATCAACGGCGAAGTTTTAGAGAACTCGGAAACAAAAACGATACTTATACTTAACAATAGAAAAAGACAGTTGGAAATTATAATGAGGAAAAAGGGCTTGGAAAATTTGATACTCACAGGGCAGATTGAAAGTAAGGAGAACTGAAGAAAACAACCCATAACCGACATAGCGAGCTTGAGTAATTGGATGATGGAGTAGGGTTTAGGAGAGATGGCAAAAAGACAAAATTTATTAAGAGTTACAAAGGACAGGAAATTGTGGAGAGCCATGATTGCCCATGTCCTATAGGGACACGGTAAATAGAAGTATAATTTACCAGGATCATGTTTTTCGATTTTAACAAATTATAAAATCCGCATATAATAATCTTACATTTTAATAAATACTTGTATGTATATATGTTTATTTTATTTTTTTAATATTTTAATCGCATATTTGTTTGTTTGTTTTTTTTATTTTTTATTTTTTTTGTAGGGGGTTCTTTAATCATTTCACCCCAAGCAAGTCTATAATGCCACTAAGATGCAAGAATTTATTAAGAGCAAAAGAAAATGAGAAGGCCTTAGTGAGAAGAAAGCACGATAAAAGGATTCAGGAAGACAGAAAATGGCGATTGATGTTGCATTTAAAATTTTGAAGACTGTAGGTGGCAGACCAGCAAGAAACTGGGAGATAATTTCACAGGCGATAAGTTCAAGAAAAGAAACTATTAGAATAGAATTAAAGTTTAGATCGGCCATGGGCTTTCTGAATGGCACACCTAATCTCATGGGGAAAATAATGATTATTAAAATGTTTTTTGCTTCCTTTAGTTCTCACGTGTTCACTCACATACACCCAGGCACAACCACATACATAAGCAATGATTAAGTATAATGTTTCTTGAACGGTGTAACTTTACGTTGAAGGTAACGTTGTAAGCATTTTAAACTATTGTCTATTGTCACTAAGGAAGATCATACGTGTAAACATTTTTTGCTTCAGAAACAGGAAACGTCAGTGATAGTTGTTTCTCTTTTACAAACATTTTGTATATTCAAATGAATAAATTAGAAACAAATCACATCCAGCAATATTTGTTAATCACGCTGTCGTCAGTGATAATTATTATATCAAGACTTCAATTTATTTTAATTATACACGGAATCTTTTTTCCAAAGAAAAATCATCAACTTTTCCCCAATACCCAGGCGGAGACACTTTTTTGTATGTTGTCAAGAAGCTCGAGATATATAGTAAGGGACATAAAACCAGATATAGTAGAAGTATTCAATGCACGGAGGAATAGTAGATTTAAAAATGTACGAATTTATGCTTTTTTTGTTTGTTTGCTCTTGTGTGTGTGTGTGTGTGTGTGTGTGTGTGTGTGTGTGTGTGTGTGTGTGTGTGCGCGCATGCGTGTGCGTGAAATTTCATAAAGGCAAAGTTTCCCAAATTGCTTTTATTCAATAATTCTGATGACAGAATTTTTCAATCAACATTCCCAGCAATAGGTTGGTTGGTTGATTTTCTTTGGCGGCATATCAACCCCTATAGGTCATTTAATTCCGAAATCTAAATATTTTGTACGTAATCTTATGCTTTTTCAGAATAAAGGTATATATATATATATATATATATATATATATATATTTAAGTTATGAAAATCTTGGTAATCTGTATGGGTAGTCTCAAGGAGGATGAAATCCTGAGAGCTCAATGTAAATACAGAGGTAATAATTTAAAGAAAAATAGACCACTTTAAGGTTCCATTATAATAATTTATTTTACCAGAGCCCTTTTAAGGGACGCTGGATTATCAGATAACACTTCCAAAAAATGAAACGAAAAATGAAATGAAAATTCACACTTTTGACGGGTAGTATTAAGTCAAAAATGAATTTTCATTTTTTTTTAAGTGTTATCTGATGATCCAGGTCCTCAAAAGGGCTCTAGTTAATAAATTATTATAATGGAAACCTTAACGTGTCTATTTTTTAAATAAATACATACATATATATATATATATATATATATATATATATATATATATATATATATATATATATATTTATATATATATATATATATATATATATATATATATATATATATATATATATATATATATATATATATTATATATATATATATATATATATTTATATATTTATATATATATATATATTTATATATATATATATATATATATATATATATATATATATATATATATATTTATATATATATATATATTATATATATCTATATATATATATTTATATATATATATATATATATTTATAATATATATATTTATATATATATATATATATATATATATATATATATATATATATATATATATATATATATATATATATATATATATTGTAGATCATATAATGTATTGTTGGTAATTTTACTAAAACGTACTGTTGGTTTTTGTTTGGAGGTCTACTACTTGCCCATAAAATTTCCTTGTTTTATCCTTGTGGCATACTTTCAATAAAGTGTTTCATTTAATATATCAATACCAATAACTGTTTCATGTACTATATTAATAATAGACTTATGGTCACGTCACGTTGAAACATCGGTTCCCTTATAATCGCCGAAGTTAAGCAACGACAAGCCTGGTCAGTTGGTTGATTTTGTTTAGTGGCATATCAACCTTTATAGGTTATATAATGTCGAAATCTAAATATTTTGAACTCAGTTGTATTCCTTCAATTACAAATAAAATACGTTGTTGGTAATTTTGCTATAAATAGGTATTGTTGGTAATTTCTTTTTATAGAAAAATGTATTACTGATATTTTTACTATAAAAATGTATTTTTTGTATTTTCATAGTGTTTTACTTTTGTATGTGGTTTCACTATTTGTCCATAGATAGGACCCTAACAGATGCTACCACCTCGGATCAGGGTGGACCTGGGAACAATAGTAATTAAGATAGTGCTTCCACACTCCTGGAAACTTCTAATCTCCCGATCAGAAGCCTTACTGTCGGATATAATTTATCGTTTTCAAACAAAGAGAATATTTCATCATCATTGAAAATTGATACTGTCGGGACATTATTATTATAAATAAATAAAAATATTAATATAATAATAATAATAATAATAATAATAATAGTAAATAATATAAATAAAATAAAATGAAGCAAATAAAAAACGTTGTTTCAAATAAATTAAATAAAACTTAAAAACTGTCCCAGCATGCAACAAAAACTGTTCCTGTCGGAAATACGGACATCCCGCCAAAAGACGTTGAATTCAACCTCTTCGCCACGAACCCTCGGACAGTCCACACGTCTAAATTCTCTCGTTGTACATAGCGTGCAATAATACAAAGTAACTTCTTCCTTTTATTAAATGCAAACAGAAATACTTGTAACCAAAAATACACACACCAGTGCACATGAAAATAAATAAATTATATGATATTAATGTACAATTTTAACATATCTCTATGTATGTTTTATTTCCTGTAAAGTATGCTTTTATTTCTTGTGAACACGAGGCTATTTCTGCTGCTATGATGCGAGTGAGCCCACAATACAAAGTACAGGAAACTCATTCTTGTATTTACAAACCCGGGTAATTCTGCTAATATATATATATATAATGTGTGTAGAATAGGCTTTTGCGTTTATTGCATTTTGTTGATAATTTTCTTCCCCAATTGATAATTTGAAATTAGAATATCAGGCGGGCTGGGTTGTTCACTTAATTCAAATCGGTTCAAATGATTACTAATATAGATAAAAACAATGTTTTCAAATGCTAATTTTAAATGTAACCAGTTCCTCCGAAATTGGATGACTGATGCAATACAGTCTTTTTACCGTTTAAATCTTGTATCTTTCCGTCTGTGTTCGGAACGATATATGCATACAACTCCTGCAATTCGACAAAAATCACTAAAACAATAAGACATTCTATTGATAGCTTGATTGCAAGTGATAGATAGATAGATAGATAGATAGATAGATAGATAGATAGATAGATAGATAGATAGATATGAAGGAGCTTTGACTAAAAGTGTTAGTTTTGATACGGTGTGCGTTCCTCTACTCCAGTGGACAGCAGTGAAACAAAAACACATCACTGACTTCTGTATCTTCTTAGAATGTCTGTTTGACGAGAAAGAAAGGTCATACGAAGGACAAGGTTGGCTTATTTAACGAAAGAAAGAAAGAATTTGGAATAATTCACATGAAGACATTGTTTCTATCTAACATTGATTGTTCCTCCTCCATCTTTTTTTCACTCCTGTCTAACATACGAAGTGGAGTTTTTGAAGCGAGATTTCACGATAATTTTCGAGAACTAACGAAACTGTCACCAGAAATTTCCAGGAGCGAAAAAGACGACAGCCATTAAGTTTTTACTATCTTTTCAACTGTATAGCAAATCACAACGAACGATCGGATCAGAAAGGTTTCAGGATAGGAAAAAGATGTTAGTACATCAAGGTGCATCCGCTTCAATCGATCTATCGATCTGGCTCATAAAACGACCATTAAGTGCCCTAAAGATCCGCTCTTTATTGCTGCGTGATACTCACATGATGTTAGTTGACGACAGGCTCGTGTACAAGGGGAGGCTACGCACATCCTGCCCATTGTCCACCTGCGGCCACAAGGTCGTAATTTACTTTTGTCCACTTCATTTGATCAGCCAGTGTGATTGAAATCACGGGCAGGCCGTTTGCCGGTCTGGCCACTTTAATGGTGAAGTATCTAGTGTCTTTGTAAGATCGCTTCCTTTCAGAACTTTCATTCTTTTTGATCTCTGTTAGTATTTACAAACTCTCTCAAACTTTCTCTCTTAATCTTACTCTTACCCGTATACACTTTGACGGTTTTAGATCTCAGCTCCATTCACTTTTTACTCCACACTTACTCTTTTATTCTTTTTCAAATCTGATTTCATCTGTCCGCTTTTCTGAAACTTACCAATCTTAGGTGCCGAATAGACGGGAGAGGCTGTTTATTTGACACTTGATCGTCATCTCGCAAGCCTTTGAGGTTCCTATTTTCACCAATCATCACAATTTGATTCAGAAACAGACTTTTCGTTATGCTTGAATAGAGCCAAATATATACAAGTATGTAGCAGAGTACTGAACAGAATATAGTCTCCTACACTTCTACTTCAACTACAATTAATTATAACCTAAACACAAGAGATCCCTTTTACTCAAAAGAATTCATCCATCACTATAATATATATATATGTATATATTAAATTGAAAAGTACGTTTAGCAAGCATGAAACACAATGTCCCCGCTTGGTGTTGACCTTAGTGTCCACTTTTATATTTATATACGCTCTATCACTGATATTTCGCAATTTTACTCATAAATGTAGCATGCCTTACACACACACACACACATATATATATATATGCACACACACACACACATATATATATATATATATATATATTAGTCCATCACACATAAAAAATTCAGGCGACCTCTTAAACAAGCTAAAAAAACATAGACATTGAAAACAAATATATGACTAGTTTAGATATACAATCTCTTTATACAAACGTCCCCATAGATAAATGCTTAAATTTACTTAAAAACACCTAACAAATGCAAAAATCCAATTACTTATATCTACACACAAAAATTATAAAACTGTGCCAACTAATTACCAAGCTATGTTTCTTTTACTTTTAATAACCAACATTACAGACAGAAATATATATATATATATATATATATATATATATATATATATATATATAGAGAGAGAGAGAGAGAGAGAGAGAGAGAGAGAGAGAGAGAGAGAATATTAGTGGTAAATATATATATATATATATATATATATATATAAATTTACAAGAGGATAGAATCCAGGTAGAACTCAGTGTCCAGTGTCTTATCTTCTCCTTTCTTGTATACATAAGTTTAGTAGTGCAAACCAGACGGAAATTTTTCATATATGCATCGGCAGTATGAATTGGCTGGATTTTAAGTTTAGATCATATAATTTTTATTGTGCTTAATGTCACCATAAATGTATCCACACCTTTCCGGTGTCTGTTTTTTTAACTTTAGTTCAGCGAATCAATAGTGATTTATGCATCTGAAAATAATTCATATTTATCTGTATCTCACTCATTTAAACCGTTATTTAACTCTTTAAACACTTCTCTCTGTTAAATTTTAATACCCACCTTCATCTTTAGGCCTTCCTGTTCTTCTTTCTTCTATTACACCCTCTCTCTAGAGCTTTCATACCTTTCCCTCTCACACTTGTTTCCCACTCCCACACATACACTCTCACTAAAACTTTGCTTTTTATACCCGGAGTTATATTTTCCGATTTCTTTTTGAATTTGTAGGTCTGATGAATTGGATCGTGATTACGATTCTAATGTAATAAATTATAACCATGGAATATTAGTGTTTGAGCCTTTTATATTATATTATATATATATATATATATATATATATATGTGTGTGTGTGTGTGTGTGTGTGTGTGTGTGAATGAAATTGGGTAGACGGAACCCTTGGGGGCCGTCGATAGCTATGCTAGCACGAAGTCACATGTCATCGTGACCGAGGGTTTTGATTGCGGTGGACTTTTTCAGGTTGTTGATCACGCTGGATAACACGCTCTCCCAGAAACTGTAACTAAGGTCTGCTCAGCCATAGTTGCAGTATAAATCACAAATTGGCTCTGTTGTTGTTGAAAAATACAAATACAAATGTGCTTCAGGGAGCGTCTACAATAGGAGTTGGCTAGCCGCTCTAATAGACGGGTATCCTCAACTAGGAAACTAGGATTTTCAAGCGAAATTTTTTTGGGAATAAATTTAATTCAAATAATTATATTGAAGTTTTCGGCTCTTGTTTTGAAACATGAGAACTCTTATGTAGCGATAAGAATCATATTTTTAAATATATATATATATATATGGATTTTTGCATTTGTTAGGTGTTTTTTAAGTAAATTTAAGCATTTATCTATGGGGACGTTTGTATAAAGAGATTGTATATCTAAACTAGTCATATATTTGTTTTCAATGTCTATGTTTTTTTAGCTTGTTTAAGAGGTCGCCTGAATTTTTTATGTGTGATGGACTAATATATATATATATATATATATATGATAAAAATATACTTTTAAGCTTATATTTATGGCTAAAATATCAGTAAGTATATATAAATATAAAAGTGGACACTGAGGTTAGCACGGCGACACCCTCTTTCATGCTTACGGAACCCAAGCATCAGGCCTGAAAATTGCGTTCAAGCATGAAACTGTTGCCGCTTTGTGTTGAGCTCAGTGTCCACTTTTATATTTTACACACACACACACACACACATATATATATATATATATATATATATATATATATATATATATATAAGGTGCGATGGATAAATTGTCGTCTAAAATACGCAAAAATGAAAATAATACTGACATCTTATTTTAACAGATATATTTACAAAAATGACACAAAAATATCTTAAAATACTATACAATAAATGTATTCAATAAAATCGCCTTTGGCTTCAACCACGGCTTCCAGACGACTTCGGAATCTCCTTCAACTCTTCTAGCCGGTCTCCTTGTTTCAGTTGGTTAATGCTGCAGTTCATCTTTGGTGTTACAGGATTTTTTCCTTTTTTTTTTTTTTTTCAAGTGCAGCTCACATATAATAATCAAGGGGGTTGCAGTCTGGGGAGTTTGGTTGCCAAATGTAATATGTAATATGATCGTAGAAATTGTCTAACAGCCATCACTGAGTTCTCCTTGCCATTTAGGTTATCGACCAACTCCAGTAACAAAGAAATATTTGACGATAATAAAACTAAATGTACTAAAGCGCTAGAAAAAAGGCAATCACCAAGTGAAATTAAAGTATGTAGAAAGAAACAATAAAGATAAAAGTAGGCTAAAACAACACAAACGTAACATCACATGGTTCAACCCATTTTACAATAGTAACGTCCGAACGAATGTAGGTAGAATTTTCCTGAATGTAAGTCACCAAAAGTTTGGTCATTCTCCAACACTAAAAAAGATTTTCAACAAAAATAATATTAAGGTAAGCTATACCTGTACTAAAAACATCGATAATCATATATCGCAACATGACAATAATATATTAAGCAAGCACCCTAACAAAATACTAAATAATAATCCTACTAAAAATCATTGCAACTGCAGTAAAAAAGTAACCTGCTAAACCACTAAACAGCCAGTGCATGACTGAGGGTATAATCTACAGAGCTAGTATCAATTCAGACGATGATGTTAAATATTACTTTGGTTCCACCGAGAACAACTTGAAATTGCGTTTTTACCATCACCAAATGATGTTGAACAATATTAAATACAAAAACAGCACAACGCTCTCAAATAATTTTTAGCGATTAAAAAACAGCTATAAGAAACCATCCATTAGCTGGGAGACAATTGCGAAAACTAAAGCTATGGAAAGGGAGACAGATGTAACTTGTGTCTGTTTGAGAATCTTATTATATTAAAACAGTTAAATAACCCTAATTTGTTGAACAGGAGAAGCGAATTGAATGTTACATGTATACCTAAATCCAAACATCTGCTCAAGCACACTGACTCCGATTAAATTGGATTTTAAAATAGATTCTACGAATATTAATATAATATATAGCACCTATTAATATTTAAAAAAAAACATTATTAATAACATTTTTATATGTCTATATACATATATAATTCCATATTATAGATCGCACTCGATTAATTTATGACGTGTGTATATGTAATTTCATGTATAAGGCTAGATTTTAAATGCATTAGATACATAGTCTTAACCTATAATTATGTTAACATCGTAAGAGCTTACTTTAATAATATATTTTAATAAGCACCAATTATTTCTATTGTAACTAACGGCGCTTTTGTATGCAAAAAAGACAGTTATACCCCTTGAAACATAGCCTGTTTACGTCAATTCATTTTTTTTAATTATTTGAAATATTTTTTTAATAAATATATATATATATATATTTAATTAATTGATCGAGTCTGATAGGAACCTCTACAGAATGCAGGAAGCACTGGACGGCCGTTTCGTCCTATATTTGGGACTCATCAGCAGTGCGCATCCACTACCGAGGATTGAAACCCTGACAGATGGGTTGTCAAGCGAACAACATACCAACTGTTCTAGATGGGCCTCGGTGACGAAGAGATTCCAAATCAGACTCAACTTAGCTCCGCTCGCTAACATATTCCGTGGCGGAACTCAACTCTTAACCATAGGACTGTGCCCCCTGGAGCCACGACTACTCTCACCAAGCCGCTCCCCCCCCCCCCGAGCATTAGAAGCCGGTTCAAGCGATGATAAACACAGATAGCAATTAGTAGGAGGATTTGATAATTATATTTGTGAGAGAGGTTCCTATCAGACTCGATCAATTAATTAAATATAATTATCAAATCCTCCTACTAATTGCTATATATATATATATATATTACATTTGCTTAATTGATCTAACCTGTCTCTGAGATGTATATATAAAATTACAATGATATTTTTACAAAGTTAGTGTATTGGACTCTACTTTTCATATGACTAAGAGGAAAAATCCTGTTTTCTTGGGACATTACAAGCTATATTTTAAGGGTATCTGTCCGTTCTAATTTTGATAGAAAGCAGATGATACATCTTTCTTTTCTTTTCTTTTTTTTTTTTTTTTTAGAAACATTTCCAGCCCACTCCGAATTAAGACTACTCTGTTTATTATTTTAGCAGTTTTTGGTTCTGTATATAATCATTCTACCCGCTACTTTATTAAGAGTCTCCGTTTATTCCATGTGGATGTGCGGGTGGTGTAATGGATAGCGGCACGGAATTAGAAATCAGTGACCTGAGTTCGAATTCCTGTCGAGTTCGTTCCATTCACTTATGCGAATGGATAATTTTGAGAATAATATTCGTAGGTCCCTAACACAAAGTTGGTCTTACTATTTGGGGGTCGGAATTTTCTCAATATGCAATAAATCACAAGTCTCATAACCCATTAGGCTCACAGGGGTGCCACATGTACTGCAGCCGTCGTAGCAGTGATCTATCTTGAGCAAGATAGCCTGACAGAGTTCAACGCTCTCCAGGTTGTTTGAATTCAGAGTTTTCATTCTCCTAGACTGGTTACCAACCAAGGCCATAGGGGTCAGTTTGTCCTGCTATTTACATACAGGCGAAGAAGAGATGGGTTCAATAGCCTTTCCAAAGGGTATTCAGTTCAGAATTTCCTTTAGGTTACCCGAATCGACATACGCCTGATGAAGGCCGGCGGGTACAACGGCCGAAACGTTGCGATAACACCAAAAATATGAAGACAATAGTCCGCGTGTAAATGATAACTCCTCATCCCAGAAATTCTTCTTCTTTGTCACTTCATTTATATTGTCTCTTTGGTATCTACTTTTGCATTTACTATCGACAGCAGTGGTCACTGTTCAATTCCAGGTAAAAGTCAGGATTTCAAATGCTGATTTTAAAGACAAGTAAAAAGGATGAGCCCGAGATACAAATTACAAATCAGGGATACCAAAATCAAATAAGTACAAAAAGTTAAATGTCTGGGAAGTGTTCTAACAGAAGACGGAAAGTGCGACATTGAAATCCAAAGACACTATGGAATGGCCAAAGATACCTTCCATAATCTAAGCAGAGTATTATGAGACAGAAAACATCGTTAGAAACAAAGTAAAGCGTACTGATTTGTGATGTGATATCTGTCCTTCTATATGTCAATGAATGCTGGACAATCTTCTCAAAGATGAAGAAGAGACTTGAAGCAACAGAAATGCGGTTTTACTGAAGGATTCTGAGGATAGCATGGACCGAACATATGAGCAACGACGAGGTTTTAGATAAAACGGAAACAAAAAGGAAACTTGACATCAGGAAGAGACAGTTGAAATTTATGGAGCACATAATGAGGAAGGAAGACTTGGAAAATCTGATACTCACGGGACAGATTGAGAGCAAGAGAGACCGATGAAAACAGCGCATAATATACTTCGTTGAGCGGATGTCATGGCAGAACAGGTTAAAGGAGAAATAATGAAAAGACAAAATTTATTGCGAGTTATAAAGGACAGGAAATTGTGGAGAGCCATGGTCACCTACGTCCTGAGAGGACAGAGCGCATAAAGAAGATTTTTCTCTCTTAAACACAAACAAAAAGAAGCAACATAATCTCCCTCTCCGGCCCTACTTCTCCATTTCTCTTCATCTCTCTTTATGACAAAAGAAACTGTGCTTCGTCAATATCCATTCATCACTCGGTTTTTTTTTCTATAAAAATTCATTTATTCGTTCAGCTTGTAATATATCACCACCTTGCCTGCGTCAGTGAATGTCACAAACCTAGATTTGGATGACAAAAGGAAGTGAAGGGAAAACTAAAAACTTAATTCAGTTTAGTAATGAGAATATCGTGGCTAATAATTCGCCTCTTTAGTCGAAGAAAACACATTACAACTACTTACACAGAAACATACACATAATTACAACAAAAAGTACAAATATATACACGCAGCGACTCTTTAGAAATTAATTATCTCGGATTTAACGGACTAAAAAAAAATTAGATTTTTCTACTTCTTTGTTTTTCTTTCCTTTACCATATTTTCTTTCTTTTTTTCTTTCTTTTCCTCTTTTTTCTTCCTTTTCTTTCTTTTCCTTTTTTTCTTTCTTTTCCTTTTTTTCTTTTCCTCTTTTTTCTTTTCCTCTTTTTTTCTTTCTTTTCCTTTTTTCTTTTCCTCTTTTTTCTTTCTTTTCCTCCTTTTTTCTTTCTTTTCCTTTTTTTCTGTCTTTTCCTCTTTTTTCTTTCTTTTCCTTTTTTTCTTTTTTTCCTCTTTTTTTCTTTCTTTTCCTTTTTTCTTTTCCTCTTTTTTCTTTCTTTTCCTCCTTTTTTTCTTTCTTTTTCTCTTTTTTTCTTTCTTTTCCTCTTTTTTTCTTTCTTAGCCATGATCTCATTTTTTCTTTCTTTTCCCTTTCTATTTTTATTTCCTACACCATGGTTTCTTTTTTATTTCTTTTGCCCTTCTTTTTCATTTTTTCTTCTATAATTGCTTTTTCTTTCTTTTCTCCTTATTTTTCTTTCCTCTTCCATAGTTTCTTTTTTCCTTTCTTTTCCTCTTTTTTTTCCTTTTCCCTTTCTATATTTAGTTCCTACTTTATGGTTTCTTTTTTATATTTTCCTCTTCATTCTTCTTCTATATTTGCAGGTTTTCCTTTTCTCCTTTCTTTCCTTTTTCCATAGTTTATTTTCTTCTTTCTTTCCCCTTTCTTTTTTCTTTCTTTTTCTATAATTTCTTTTTTCTTTCTTTCCCCTTTCTTTTTTCTTTCCTTTTCTATAATTTCTTTTTTCTTTCTTTCCCCTTTCTTTTTTTCTTTCCTTTTCTATAATTTCTTTTTTCTTTCCTTCCCCTTTCTTTTTTTCTTTCCTTTTCTATAATTTCTTTTTTCTTTCTTTCCCCTTTCTTTTTTTCTTTCCTTTTCTATAATTTCTTTTTTCTTTCTTTCCCCTTCCCACGATGTTTTTCTCACATTTGATTTGAAAAGAGCTTCGAAAGTTGTTTATTTATTTTTTTCTGACTCCTGTGTAAAATTAATAAGTTACAGATAATCCGTATGGATTAAACATAAGGAATAAAATTGATCGTATTAAAATGTTTATTGAGTAAGGATTAACAGGAAACGTTTAGCCCCACTGCCCACCTGTTTCTAACAACTCCGTTTTTATTATTTTCTTTTCAAGGTGAATGTCTTGGACTGCTGACTGTTTAAAAAATCATTTTTTATCCACTCGTCAGTTGAAACGTTCAACTCTATTTGCATTTATAAGATTCTGTCAAAGTGACACGACGTGGGACAAAATACCCCGGAAAAAAATACTTAAAATTATTAACGGGTTTTCTCAACAGTCTGTCGACATCATCATGTCTAGCTTTGTACATCGTCATTAATTTTCCCTTTCGATTATTTACTTATTTCTTTGCTTATTTATTATGTACATCTTCACAGGTGGGTAACTGTTGGTTATCACTGGAGATCAAGTGACAGCAAGTCTCTGTTTCATTCTCTTATAGAATTTTATATTGCTATGATTTATACTTGCCTCAACAACTTTTCAAATCTACAACTGACACGTTAATTGGAACATTTCGCAAAAGACTATTCTTCTTCTTCTTCTTCTTCTTATTATTATTATTATTATTATTAATAATAATAATAATATTATTTTTATTTATTTTTTTTTATTTCCTTTGATTTCTGGTGTCTAGTCATTTGTTTCCGGGTCCCACCCAGAGACCTAACGTCAGAAATGGCATCATGACATTTTCCATTGACCAATTAAAAAAAAAAAAGAATCACACATCTTCTACATAGATAAAGCCCTTCATAAGGTGTGGGTTGTACTCGTGGGAACAATTTTTTATATTTCTTTATTTCTACTGGAATCTTTTTCAATCAATCCGAGGGCTCCAGTTACAACTGGAATTGTTGATGTTCTCATTATAGAGATTTCAAATTCAAGGTCCTTGTATTTTGATATAGATTTTTTAAATATCTTCAAAGATACATTGCAGTCTGCAGGGACTGCCATGTCAATAAGGAGGCATATTTTGACTTTGCGGTCTCTAATCCTGATGTCTGTGTGATTAGCTTTGATTATTCTGTTTGCGTATATTGTGAAATCCCATAAAATTGTTACAGGTCTTATCTTCGTAACCGGGTTTGGGTCGTATTCATATTGATTTCTTCCAGTTTCCTTTCCGTAAAAGTTGCAGATTTTTAAGTGCAGATATTGGCCCACTCTGTCATGCCAGGTTTTATATTCAGTGGATGTCAATACCGCGCCACATGATACAAGATGGCCGATTGTTTCTGGATATTTGTCACAGAATCTGCATTTTGGGCTAGCATAATTTTTCAGTTTGTGTGTTTGATAATTTCTAGCTAGCAAGCATTGATCCTGTTCAGTATGACTATAACCTTCTGTTACAGCTTTTAACCCTGCACTACGTAGCCACTGATGGGTATGGGGTTTGTCTACATCAGCTTGTTTGGTACAGGCTGAGTATTAACCGCTGGTCGGTTGCATTTGCCTTTGCTTTCTCTTTATTTTACAGCTTGTTGGCTTCTTTTATTACTAAATTGTTGAAACTTGACTAATGCATGGAATAATAATGCAACACAAAATGAACTTAGAACAAAATGTATTGAAACAAGAAAGTGTACACAATATTTACATATAGCCTTTTGTATATTCCTGGTAAGACCGTTCCTGGAGAATGTGTTGACTGAGTCGCAGTCGGGCAGAGTCTCTGGTTGAATCTCTTGATTCCTCCCTCTCTTCCCGGTACCAACCATATTTATATGGTCGGTACTCCACTATGAAAATTAGGTGGATCCTACCACAACATAAATAAAGTCGCTTACTATTTTCATGTTCTTTGATGCATTTCATCATCCAGTATTCTGTATTTTCCAGGTATCTTTGAAGGACAATTGTTGTAGTTTTGTAAGGCAGTTCTAGTTGAACTAATCCCCTGCCTTCTTTGGATCTGGACACATACAGACGATCAACATCATTTTCAAGATTAAACATGCAGTGACAGGTTAGAATCTTTCTCGTTTTTGCATCCATTCGGTTAATGACAGCTATGGTCCACTTGTTGAAACTGTATTGCAATACAGGGACAGCCAAGATGTTTATGGCTGATATTCCGTTTTCTGAATTTAGCTCAGTATTCAGTACCAGACACACGTGTCTTTATTATTTCTTTCTTACTTTCTCTTTCATTTTGGTATGCTGTATTCCATCTCCTTCGCTAATTCCTAGGTAGTTATAGGCTTCTTTTTGTTACAGTTGCCTAATCTTTGTGACAAAATCTAAATCTATTGAGTGTGTTTCTGTAATTCTCCCTTTCTTGAATGTTACTTTTGCACATTCATCTAATCAGAGCTCCATGCCAAGTCGTCACTGAAACATCTTAGAGTATTGGCAAAGAGTTTGAGATCATCTCCATGTAGAGTAGGTTCTTGTTTAGTTTGTAACCATAGCTATTATTGTTTAGTTCATGCGTAAGGGAGATTAAGGACAGACAAAACAAAAGGGGTGACAGGGAATCTCCTCCAAAGATTCCTCGTCGGAGATTCAGGCGAGGCGGTTGGCGGTGCCTCCGGTGTGATTTCGGTATTATGTGGTTTTCCACATTCCTATGCTGTGCTTAAGGAAATTTACATTGATGGGGGAGACTTTGTACATTTCCAATGTTATTATTGTTTTATTTCCTTTGATTTCTGGTGTATACACATTTCTTTCCGTGTCCCGGCCTGAGAACTAAGGTCAGAAATGGCATCATGGCATTTTCCACTGAGCAATTAAAAAAAAAAAAAACACATATCTTACATAGATAAAGCTCTTCATAAGGTATGGGCTGTACTGATGAGAACATGTTTTTGTATTTCTTTAAGACATGGGCTTCCAGGAATCCCTTAAATGTGTCTACTGGAATGTTTTCAACCAATCCGAGGTCTCCAGCTACAACAGGGATTGTTGATGTCCCCATGTGCCACATTTTTGAGATTTCCATTTCAAGGTCCTTGTATTTTGATTATTTTGATTATTATTATTTTTATTATTATTATCCTTATTGTCATTTTTATTTTTATCATTTTATTAGGTTGGTGCAGAAATAATGACGTAACAATGTCGTTTTTGACGTATTTTTAACGTCAAAAAACGACACTCTTACGTCATTATTTTTGCACCAACCTAATATTATCATTATTTTTATTAATAATTTTATTTTAATCATTTTTATTAGTAGTGGTAGTATTTTTACCTTTTATTTATTTATTTATTATTATTATTATTATTAGTTTTATTTTTAATGGATATGAATGTTGTACGGTAAAAATCTGAGTGACTAGATGTTATCTTCTATTAGGTTGGTGCAAAAATAATGACGTAATAATGTCGTTTTTGACGTTAAAAATACGTCAAAAAACGACATTATTACGTCATTATTTTTGCACCAACCTAATATATCAAAACTGTCTTCGTCTTATATCCGGGACAAATTTGATTTTATTACTAAAATAAATAAATTTTCTGAATGAAAAAAAGGATTTTCATGATTGCTATTTGGTCACCATGGATGTTTCGTCTCTTCATCCTAATATTTATCACGATGAAAGGATTGAGGCATGAAATAAAGCCTCTGAAAAACGCAAAAACTAAACCATTCCGTCAAACTTTCTCTGCAGACTTATACGTTTTGTCTTGGAAAGCAACACGGTGAAGTTTTGGAAAAAGTTCTTCCACCAGATCAAAGCATGCGCAATAGGGCCACAATGGCCGTTAACTCTGCGAATGTCTTTATGAAAAATCTCGAAGAAAAACTTCAGGCTTTCAAATCACAGCACGGCCATAAACCAAAACTTTGGCTGTGATTTATTGATGATATTTTCGTTATCTGGAAAGGTACGCAGGAAATTATTTACATTAGTCGGACTATTGTCCTCATCTTTGTCGTCATATTTGTCACAACGTTTCGGCCGTTGTACGCTCCGGCCTTCTTCAGGTGGTTGGAATTTCGAACTGAACCCTTCATTTCGATCACTGGGGCAGACTGTTCTAGTTCCACGTGCCATGTTTACAGTCTACCCCAGTGATCGAAATAAAAAATTCAGTTCAACGTTCCAACCACCGAAGAAGGCCGGAGCGTACAACGGCCGAAATGTTGTGACGAATATGGCGACAAAGATGAGGACAATAGTCCGACTAATCTAAATAATGTACATAATACCTCATCTCAGAAATATAGACAGACTCGGTACGCAGGAAAGTTTGTTAAACTTTCGACAATTTTGTGATATTTTTGCACAAAAGAATAATTTTCGATCACAGATAAAATTTACATCTAGTTTCTCCAAAGATATTGTTGAATTTTTAGACATTAAAGTAGAATTCTCAAGCAATCGTCTAATGACGGAATTATTTTACAAACTTACGTCATCACACATTTACCTACACCGTAGTTCTGATCATCCTTATCACAGGATCAAATCAAACCGGAAGTGTCAATTTTTACACATAAGACGAATTTGCACGGAGATAAAAGATTATTAGAAGCATGTGAATAATTTCATTCGGCATTATGTTAAGCGCGGTTATCAAGAATCGTGGGTGAAACAAATTGTGAAAGAACTAGTTAAAGCTGAAGATTACCATAATTTTATATTGGGACAAAACACCGAAAAACGCAAAAAATTTCTGACAGAATCCTATTAGTCATCAATTGGTACCGAAATTTGGCTGGAATTTCGAAAATACTACACGACAGCTATGAACATTGCGCAAAATACCGGCCTTTTAAAGAGATGCTTCTCAATTCGCCTATAGTTTCTTTTAAAGTCTTTTATAGTTTCTTTCTGGTCTTGAGC